TATTTTCCAAAGCAGGACACTAACTGGTTGAGAGTGGGGGTGCGAGCAGGTGGAACACTGGGACAGTAAGCACACACTGGGGCATGAGGTTACTGTACCTGCCAAAGAAGGTCAGCAGGAGATGGGTGAGAGAAACTAACACCCTGTTCTGCAGGCACTAATAATGAGGAGAAGGGAAGGAACATGATATGGAGAAACACTAATGCCCACCACACAATTCTGCGTGAGGGCTTGACATCAGTAATGTTCAAAATAAAAATGAGAAGGGAAAACACATCATAGTCTTCAAAATCCACGTGCTTCCTCAGCACGTGGAAACTTCCTCAACTCAGCAGGGGAAACTTCCTCAAGGGAAACTCTCACTAATCTACTTTTAAGGAAAGTGGATTAGAAATGACCTACAACTGTGGCTCACTTCTGGTGAGCCTTTCATCCCATGCCTGTGTCTCTGGTGAACAGCAACTATGCAGGAAAGGGTTGGGAAGGAAGCCCTCACCCAGTCACCCTGTTCCCACCAGGTTGCAGTTCTCCCCATGCATTCTGCTTGGAACCTTCCTCCTCCAGATTCCTATTACACCAATTCCATTTCCTTCAGGTTGCTGATGAACTCTAGCTTCACCGTGCGTCCACCTGACTGCACCCTCACCATAATTTAGCATCTTCAACCACACCAGGCAATTTACTGACTCATCCTTTTTATTATTCACCAGAAAACTGAATCGTGGAGTAGGAATCTTTGTCTTTACTCAGCATCTGCCATGTATTGACAGTGGGCTCAGCACACACTGAGTGCTCAGTAGATATTCTGTTGAATGAATGAATGGTGCTCAAACAAAACTGAGGCAAGATTCTTATATGAACTCACAAAAATCACATAAAGAAAACAAGTCTATCTTCTTTATCTTATTGCTTTTCCATTTCGACGTATTTAACACAAGAATATACACATTGGCTGGGCACAATGGATCACACCAAGTAATCCCACCTACTCAGGAGGTGGAGACTGGGAGGTTCCAGACCAGCAGAGGCAAAAAAGTTAGCAAGACTCCACCTCAACCAATAAGCAAGGCACGGTGGTGCACGCCTGTCACCACCATGGGAGGTTGTAGTTAGAATTGTGGTCTAAGGTTGGCCCCAGGCAAAACCACAAGACCCTAAAAAATACAGACACATGCATGTGCATCACACACACACATACTTTGGAGTCAGATTCCTAAATGGCTCAGAACTGGCTATGCCTTTTATGGGCAAGGCAAATGCTGCCATGTTCCTTAACTCTAAGTGCCTCATTAGCTCATCTGCAAAACTAGGTGCTGGTTAATTCTTACCTCAAGGACTTTTGTGAGAAATAAATGGGCCAATATGCACGTGCTTGTGTGCACAATAAGTTCAGAACAGTGAATAGATGCAGTGCCTGCAGAATCAAGTTTAACTCATTACAAGAAGCACAGCTCGTTCGCTCTCTCTTCAAATGCCACCAACTGAGGTAAAGCACTATTCAAAACATTTTGTGACATACTGAAGCAAATCTATAGGAACTGACAATAGCTGTTTGTCTATAAAACAGTATGCATTCATTTTTCTTTTATTTTTATTTTAAAAATAAAGTTAACCCAATACAGAATTTATTCATTCATTAAAGTAATATCCATTATGCCAACTATTTGCCAAGCAGAAAAAAAGCCTGTCATCATCCCTGTCAAGTTTGGCTAGTGACGAGAACAGAAATCATCCAAGTAAAATCAAGCACAGTGGACACTGTGCAAAAGCAGAAGCACTAGCTATGGTGGGAACCCTGGAGAAGACTCAGACTGACAGAGGAGAGCTATTTTAACCAAAGCCCTAAAAAGTAAGTAGGATGGGGGAGGAAGAGAATGCAGAGAAGACAGTTCCAAGAAGGTCAACAGCAGACATGCAAGGAAGTGTCCAGTGCTCAAGGCACTAACCAGCCAAAATAACTGCGTGTTAATGAGCAGGAGGATGACAGTCCAAAGCTGGAGGAGAAAGGGATAGACTAGATCAGGCCATGATAGGGATGTGGGATTTTAGCCAAGTCTAATGAGAAGCTACTGAGGAGTTTTAACATCAGATCTGTATTTTTACAAAAATCACTCTAACAGACAGCTGGAGAATTAACATGTGTGAAGACAGGAAGCCCAAACAGGAGGTTATTCCCATAATCCAGGGTTCCATGGACCAGGAGTGGACAGAACAAGAGACAAGTAATTTAAGATGCTTGCTGGAGGGAGAGTGAGTCATCAGGGTTAGACAACTGGTTCATTATGTAGGGAAGGAAGTGTCAAAGAGGTGTACTGGATCTGGAGCACGAACTCAGTGGACAGGGTCCAGTGTGCTTACTAAGCTAGGGAAGAGAGGAATAATACAAATGCAGATACCATGAAGCAGCTGACCGTTACAGTCTAAAACAGAAAAAAAAAAAAAAAAAAAAAAAAAAGATGACCCATGCAGAAAGCTACCTGCATAGACAGATGGAAAGACAGAACTTAAAATTCTAATATAGAATAAACATGACTTTAACCACAAAAGCCAGAATTACACAAACTATTACTAGTATATTTAATCTTGATCGACTACTGAAAGAAATAGAAGAAATCAGAAAACATTTATCCCTAAAAACCAAATCTCTAACACCTCTTTAACGCTTCCTAGCCTTTCAAACAGACTGAACAAACAATATACGTATGATACAAAGACTCCACAAGTACGGCTTCCCACAATCAACACTTAACCTAACAGTACTGCAAACATTTAACACTCTGAACCATAAAACTATCTTTAAGTCTATGCAATTATTAAATAATTAAACATGTTACATCAAAATCTTTCTTAAATACTCTAAAATGCAATATTCTCAGGTGAGAAGATTCTGTACACCAATACAGTAACTGTTATATAACGAAAAGACCTCAAGTGTTTTAAGGATATCTTAAAGGCTTCATTTCAAAGCATACAAATATAGGTCTGTTTTTCTATTTTCAGCCTGTCCTGGTAAGAAATGTATGTCTTCTTAAAACTGGGACATTGGTATGTTTTTTGAGGTTAATGTGGTTGATATAATCAAATGCATGGTTTAAAATGTCTAGCTGCAGCTAAAGATTTGTATATTCTTTGAATTTGAGCTTTTTACTTTGTTTTTATCTACAAGTTGTAACTCTCATACTTGAAATAACCAATTCAGACAATTCCAGCAATTCACACCAGCGTCTTTGTCCTTATCACAAAGACAAAAATTAACAAGCATAAAGCAGGTCTCCTTCCTTTCAGTTCTGATACAAGAGAGTAAAATGAGCAGGCAGAGAGAAAGTTTAAAGATAGCTGCACTGAGCGATCACTGTGGAGGCGGGTGCTCAACTCTAAATGGGCAAGGACAAGCTCTGAGTGGGAACAAGCCCAGAGCAAAATCACCCAACCTCCTAAGGGGATCCGTAGAGATGGACTGACTATGGCCCTTGACAATTCCTACTGCTTCCTGTCCTCTGCACTGAGAGATCTGCTCCCCTTGCCCAGCGCCACCTTGTATCAAAATGCATGTTTCAGTTTTAAAGAGTTGTATTCCTTTTCTCTGACAGCCTGAAATCATATTCAAAAAATAAGTTGCTTTGATCAAATGCTTTGTGGGGAACCAAAACAGTACTGCCTCTTTTCTGTCAAAGCTCACCTTTCTAAAGTCACTTTGAGTAAGAAATCCAGTAGCTAGTTAATATCCTGTTGTTACTGGGTTTTCTAGATCTTAGATCTAGCTAGACTTTGTGAGGGAAATCAGAGAGCCTTATTGTTAATGATCAGTGCTATCAGACAGTGAAGGCAAGCAAACCCCAGCATATCTACAAAAAGATCGTCATTTTCAATAAGGATAGTAATTAGTTATGCTCACAATTATATGACCTTGATGCCAAGAACCTGCAATTTTAATAAGTCAATGTCCTTTAAAATTCAAGAGCTCCAATTTAACTTGGCAAAATCTTTCCTCTGAATATCCCATTACATAATAAAGTGACAGGTGTTTCCTTCATACTAAAACAGTTCTTGTATATCACACGCTTTATGTATAAAACTAAAAAAGAAGTTACAGATGACAAAGACGGTTCAACCAATGAAAACAAATTTAATGTTGAAACTGCAACTTTGTGTTAACATATTCAGTACCCTACTGACTGGAATTTTTACCTAGAACTAAACTGAGTAAGCCCTGTAGCTCTGACTTTACCAAGTGCAGGTTCCTCCTCTTAAAACCCTTCCTAAGTCGATTAGCATACTATGTGAATATGTGTACATAATGACATTTCATTGCACTCTTCATTAAGGACATTAATTGGCTTAAATATTTACGACTACTTTAAGCAAAACTACTTATAGCTGAATTTGGTTTCAGGTCATGCACTAATAGTAAGGCATTTTTAACATCTCAATATGCTTTCCAAATACCAACTTGAATGTCACCATGAAAATGTTGTATGTTATATTTGCATTTTATATGAATAAAAATACTAACACCAAAATGGAAACTGTTTATTCACAGCATTCCTGACTGCTGGTGACAAACCCATCTTAAAATAATATAGAGCTTTAAATTAAATATACAATTTTTATAGAGAGTAAAGGAAACCAACTTTTAAGTAAGAAAATCCATGTTACTTTTTTCCTACAGTCCTATAAAGTTAAAATTAGTCGCTTTATTCTTTGAATACCTCTATAGCACAGAAGGGGTAGGGAGTAAAAGAAAACATATAACAAAAAACCTCTTAAGAGACATAGGACAGAGCACAGAAAGATGGCTTAACTCATTTAAAATGCAAAAAATATTTTTACTATTCAAAAAGTTTTATGTAATAGTTTAAATCTATACATCACTTTCCATTTTTCCTCAAATTTAATTATAAATCCACTTAAAATAAATTCTGAAGAAACCCTTTTCTACATTTTTAATGAAAAACATGAAATTAAAATATAAACTGAAAAGATTTTCAAATTATTTATACCTTTAGCCCAACAGACTGGAAATGGACTACAGCCGCTTTTCTCCATACAGATGGCACCTGCTGGTTTCAGGGCCTCTTGGCCTGCCAGTTCCACCAACATACACCCAATCCTATCAAGATCAAGCCAGGAGTCCGCACACAAAGTCCCCGTTCACCGCTCCCACAGCATTTGCTTGATCCAAAGCAAGACTAAGCTTCCCCTGTGTGCTCCTTTTCAGAGCTTGAAGCCGAATTTGGGAGATGTTCCTTCTGTAATAGACTCCAGCAGCTCGAAAGATGCCTCTCAGTTACCGAATCTTCTGCTTCCGCAATCTGAAACACAGACCGTCCTGGCCAGATTAAGCCGCTGAACATAATGAAACCAGCTAGTCATGCGACCCTGTAGGTCTGTGTTCCTAGACTCATTCAGGGAAGGAGAGAGAAAGGGAAGGAGAGGAGGGAGGAGAAAAGAAAGCCAGTAGCCAGCACCTTATGAATATGCTAATCTCGCCCTTCTGTTCAATTCATCCGGCAGACTTCTGTTTACAAAATGACAGTTGACTCCAAAACTGAGTGAGTTGCAAATCAGGTCTGACCCAGATCATGTCTATAGATGGTTCCTAAACCATTTCTGCCTTCAAACTTATGCCTTTGGCAATTTTCCAACCTAATTCTAACCTTAGAGTTCAAAATCCTGATTGACAATAAAAATAAGTTCTTTAAAAGGTCTAGAGGAACCAAAATACCTCTGAAGTAAAATGTTTTTCCTGATGATTCTTTGATAATAAGTCTATAGATTTATAAAACTATCTAGAAAACATAAAATTAAGTATCTGAGATGGCTGGTTTCTTTTTAAATTCACTTAAGGAACACTGCGAGATCCAAGATGTGTGATTTCTTGTTCTAGCTTCTAAAGATAAGTGAGTAATAAACTCAGGTTGAAGAAGTAGGACAGAAAAATACCCTCACAGTCTGCATCAGCAACTTTAAAAAAAAAAATGCAAAACTACTTACTTTTTCCATTCAAACTGAGAAAGAGTCAAGGTCATGACAAAAATTCAGCTATCTGAACACACTGCACTTTCGCACCAGGACAAGTAACTAGGCTCCTGGAGCCTTGTTCTTTGAGCACATGTAATACACACTGAGGCTCAAAACAGTTCTAGCTCTCCTAATATATGAGTGACTTTATCCCATAAACTAAGCATAAACTCAAGTACTTCCCTTGCCTATCCAAATGATGAAAAGAGATGAACAAAGGTTGAGGAGAGTAAGAGGCACGTTTGTGCCCAGCAATGCTCAGGACAGTGGGCTTCCAGTCCAGCGCCACTCTTGACGATGGATGCCTTTGTCTCTGGGCTCCAGCTCCAGCCACAGCTGCAGCCAGAGCTCCAGTGAGTTCTGCTGAGCCTCACTGAAAACACATCTTTCCCCAGCGTGAGCTCTGACCCCAGGCAACACTGGGAAGAAAGGAGCTCCAGAAAAACACAAGCAAACAAGCTAGAAGACAGAGACCCACACAAAGAGCAATCAGAACTCACAGAAAACATCCCCGGCTCTATTATGCCCAGAAAGGCAGGACCATGGAGGACTACTGCCGTCCTAGGAGGAGTAAGAACACCAAGCAAGACTGCCATCTGCCTCACCCCAGGAGCACAGTGTGGAGTTCAACCTGAGCCACCCACCAATAAATAATCCAAGCCAACTGTGAGTCTCTGGAGCTTATGATTCTCAAAAGCTAAACAAATGAAGCTGCCCTTCCTAGTCACCTACTACATGCTGCACTTTAAGCTGGCTGCAGTGATCTTCACTCCATCCCTTTGATGATGAGAAAACTAAGACTGGAGACAGTATCCTGGCAGAACAAAGAGTCCACACCACAGCACCATACCCCAGCCATGAAGTATTTTTGAGTCAGAATAAATAACTGCCTTGAGACCACCTGGACAGAGGATAATGTGGCTGGAGAGAGGACAATGGCAGTGAATGAAGGGCTCAGGACAACTTTGAAAGGAGAGGCTGTGGACTGGGGTGGGGAAGGGGGATGAGCCCAGTTTCTGACGTTAACCTATGGATTAGGCTTTCTCTGCCATCCTCCCAGTAACTTGTAATTTATTCAATAATCAAATATCCTTACCAAATATGCAAGATCCTGAGGATACTGAAAGGCCAGATATGAAAGAGCACGAACTCCTACAGGCCAGAGAGCAAGGTGACTGATAGTAGGCCACTAAGTGCTCACTTGGACTGAAGCAGCAGCTACAGAAAGCCTAAGGCACCATCAGGCTGCTGAGAAGCAAGACCAGAGGACAGCTGGGGAGAGCAGGAGGGGATGAAGCAACAAGGAATAACCTGTAACTGTACAGAGCAACTGGAATAAACTAGTTATACCTAAAGTTGGTTGCATTTAATCCCTAACCCAATCCCAAAGAAGTCGCTGTTTCCTCGGGCTGACTGAAGAGGAAAATGAGATTGAGAGACATCAAGTAACTTGCTTTGTACTAGCTAGCTGCTGATTATAATTACTCCTATTTTCTTCTTGCTAAATATTAAAAAACATTATGTTTTTAAATTTCTAATCCAGTGACTTCTTGAAAAGACCACAGTTAAAGACAACATAAGTGAAGATTTTTTAAAATCCTCTATGCTCTCTTATTTATGAAATGCTGTATTAATATAAAAGCCAACAATCATTAAAACGTGTGATATTCAAATCAAATTCTTTCAGTATCAGCACAATTAAAAGTAACTCTGGTTAGGTCCTACTTAACAAGTGAGCTCATTCAATTACAATTTATAAGGAAGGTATTACTATTTGCTGAAACCTGAAATCTTATTCCCTAGTCACTCTTTTATCTTTTGTCTCTGCCTCCTACTTCAATGAAATCTATCAGCAAAGCCCATGATTCCAGCCTTCAGAACAGCCAGTGTCCACATACTTCTCATCCCTCTACCGCCCACATCCTGGCCCAGCTACCAGCCTCTGATCTGCTCTGAGTCTATTCTCAATCCGGTACTGATGCTCTCAAAACAGCAATCACACCATTCCACACCCCTGCTCAGACCACACCAAGAGTTCTTCAATTTCCCAGAAGAGGAGCCAACATACTTAGCATGGTCTATAAGGCCCCTCGTGATACAGCTCCCGTGTGTAACGCCCTCTTCTCAGTCTGATCAACTCAAATCCCCTGGTTTCCTTAACACCAACCCTCCCTGCTGTGAGCAGGATCAGGAAGCAGAGATTTCAAACCCTTCAAATGCCACATACCATTTTACCCATTTGGTTTACCTACAGAAACCTGGTCTTAAGGATTGGGGAAGTAGCTCAGCAGTTAAGTGTTTGCATGGCATGCCCAAGGCCCTGGGTTTGATCCCCAGTACTGATTTAAGAAGAGAAAGAAAACTGGTCTTAAATGGTGAGGTCACTGGGAATCAACTCTTAAGAAGTGAAATGCTCACCAAAAGTAGTTCAGGAAAATTTGACACTGACTTTCCCATTTGTCACATATCTACCGTGGTTTTTGTTTATCTTAATCCCAAATACAAAGGCAATATAACAGTAAAGCACTGAGAAATGCTTTTATGTAGTCAGTAGGAGGAATATAAAAGAAAAATATTATTCATAGTATACATGTATACTTCCAATTCTCTTATTTTTCTTATGCTGCATTAATCAGGAATTACAAATTTAAAGGACTATAACACTTTTACAATATGGTAACTCTAACAACCGATAATTATACACACACTAACTTTGGAATGTTAGGTACCCTACAGTAAACTTACTTCCAGCAAGATTACTAATTTTCATTTCTGTCATCGTCTCACTGCTTCCACCATAAAAACAAATAATTTTTAGGAAAATTTTAGTCTATATACAAAAACAACGGCTTGATAGAGGTTTTAAGGTAATGAGTGGTAATACAGGATATAATCGCCTTCTGAAAGAGACAACAGGTCTCACACTACAACAAACTCCCAAAGGTGGCAGTATTGTTGCTGTTCACTTTATCTGTGGAGTTTTGTAACAATTCCTGTACCTCCCTTCGTGTAGCTGGAGGAACCTGGGGGGAGGGGAGAGGCTGAGGAAGGCACTGAATTGGTGACTGGAAGATGAAAAGGAGCCCCACTTACCTGTGAAACAAAGAAAGACCACAGTTTCTGTATCTGTAGAACAAAGACAATGACACCAAATACCCATCTGGTAAGTACTGACCATCAGCCAGCCACAAAAGAGTCCAACAGCAACATTAATGCAGCACCAAGTTAATGCTTCTGTGTGCCAAACTCTGCTCCAAATATTTGTAAAATGTTGACCCACCTAGTTTTCACTAGCAACCCATTCCAGGAGGCAGATACTATTACCCCATCTTACAGATGAAGAAACTGAAGCAGAGAGGCCAGGTAACTTAAGGCCACACAGTTTTTAAGCAGCAAAGTTGGAAACCAAACCCAGGCAATCTGGCTCCAGCGTCTGTGTTCTTCATCAATTTGCGGCACTGCTTTATGCCTGTCTTCTCACTGAGTACCTCCTACAACAAAGATGATGTTACAACCCACCTGTGACATGTGAACTGAACAGGGAAATTAGGAGGGAAACACACCTCCTATGGCAATTGACTGGTCAACGGCAGAGTTGTGATCTGCACCAGGCACTCAGCACCAGGCAGAACACACTGAAACCACCACCTGGAACATCACCTACCTCCCGAAGTGCAAACGTTTCCAGAGGTAGCAGTCCCATCTGGCCTGCCCAGGGTGAATGAATCACTGTGAAGACCAAAAGGACCAGGGCTTACCCTGCTTCAGCCTTGCAACATCCAAGTTCACGGCACCTGGAGGCTCATGGGACAACCCTCTCGTGGAAGTCAGCAGTCCTGCCCAGAACAACTCAGATGAAAGCCAACACAGTCCTCAAGAAGCATGCAGCTGGGACTTGAGGGCTGCATCGGAATCACCAGAAAATAAGTAAAATATAACCACCAAAGTAAGCATCACTGAAATATATAAAATAGAGGGGGAATTCAACTCTTACCAAGAAAATCTTATTCAATATTTCTGTCCATTAAGACACTGTCTTCAAAATGTGTATTTTCAAGTATCTCCAAAAATGCATGATATAATAACCATTTCTTTTCATTATCTAAAAAGGGAAAAAAACCTTTGAACTAATACTAAATTTAATACTAACCTATGGAATATTAAACTAGATACAGTATTTCCACAGGCTCAACTGATTATTGCTATTTTTTATTTTTGTTTTGCCATACAGGAGATCAAAGCGAAATTCCAGATTTAGAAACTGATGGAAAGTTAATTGCAATCAATTTGTAAAAGGCTCCTGAAATCTGAAACATGATGTTACAAAAGCTGGCCACCAAAACATGAAATTTCAACCATTCATGTCCTAAAACAGAGGGATTTTTTGCTTATATTTAACATAAAATATCAAAAGGCAAGCAAGTAGCTACTTCATGTTAACACTGCTCAAAACAAGTGCACTGAAACATCCAACTTACTTCATCACCAAGAGTTTTTTAATCCTATAAATCTAATTAATCCAGAGTTTGATTACCCACTTATTGGGCAAATAAGAACAACTGTACTGTTCCAAGTCAGGAAACGGAAGCATGAGAAACACTAAGACTGGAAACGGCTTTGCAGCTGCAAAGGCACTGCCACAGCAAGAAGGCCCAGTGGAGTCAGGAGGACCTCTTGTGGTGAATGTCAATCCCTCTCACCTACGTCTTTCAGCTCTGAAGACTGAGAAACCATCATTCACTGTAAATCACCCGGGGAAACAAGCTCATGCTGGGATCTGGACTGATCAGCACCACCCAGCACAGGTGAAGCCCTGCCATAGGCACAGAAGCTCAGGTGGGCTGCATCCCTCCTTCCCAACACAGCTGCACAGTAGTTGGGTGGCTCTGTCCCTTCCCCCTCTCTGTGCTTTCACTTTTTCACACTGGTATGAATAGACAGGACTCCAGTTTACCAAGAAATTGATGGACTCACTTGTCCAATTTTACCTAAAATCTTTTTCTCATTATAACATGTAAGGACCAGGCTGGGGGAGTGACTCAAGTGGTAGAGTGCTTGCCTAGCAAGTAGGAGGCAGTGAATTCAAACCCCAGTACCAGCAAAAAAATAAAAACGTTAGGACCAATTTCATACCCACTGGTGATGGCTACTATTCTTTTAACAGTAAAGGTTGACGAGGATGTGAAGAAACTGGAGTCTTTGCACACCCTGTTGCTGGGAATGTAAAATGGTGCAGCTGTTATAGAAAAAAATATGGAGGTTCCTCAAACAATTAAAACGAGGCTGGGCACAGTACTCACACCTTTAATCTGAGCTACTCAAGAAGCAGAGATTGGGAGACTAGTCATTCAAAGCCAGTCTAGGCAAAAAGTTAGCATGACTCCCATCTCAAAAAATAAGCTAGGTATGGCAGCACATGCCTATAATCCCAGGTGCATGGGAGACATAGCAGGAGGATCAGGATCACAGTCAGCCTAAGGAAAAAAAAAAAACAGAACAAAACATGGAACCCTCTCCCAAAAAAAAAAAAAAGCCTAAAGGCAAAGAAGGGTTAGTGGCATGGCTCAAGTGGTAGAGCACATGTCTACAAGCAAGAAGCCCTGAGTTTAATCCCCAGTAATGGGATAAATAAATAAGAAAACAAAACTAGACCCACTATTAGACCCACCAATCCCACTT